GCTATAGTTTGTTCGACCACTGTATGCATCACAATGTGGGTGTCATATGAAAGGAGTTCAAGAAGGTTGTAGTTTGAAAATATCTGGCAAGCGATTGTCACCTGTTCAAAAAGTTAAAAATTATTTAATAAGCTTAATGAATTATTTCAATATGGGTATCAGTCGAAATGGTTTGGGAAAGGCTTCATTTGTCAGGTGGGGTGCCACTTGTTTAAAAAATCCAACTCAACTTTAATAAAAGGAATTAGTTAGTTGAAATATGTACAGCAATGTGGGTGTCAAACGAAAGGTGGTTGTAGTTTGAGAAAAGGGTTGCCATCTGTTGAAAAAAGTCGAATTTAAGTGAATGTCTTACAAGTTAAATGAAATATTAAAATATGGGTGTCAAACGAAAGGGTGTTAACAAATCTTTATGTGTTTATGCATGTAAGTATGAAAAGTAGTGAAGTATAAAAGAATTATGTATGTACATGTATGTAGTTATGCCTGTGTGTGTAAGTGTAACCGATGTTTCACGCATTTGTTTTAGATTTTGAATCTTTAATTTTTATATGTATATTTTCAATTTTGTATTCCTAGCATGAAGGTACCAGTGTTTTGGCTCTAAGGACGACCAACATACATACATACATAGTAGCGTGGGCCGAAAATCCGCTTTTTAGAATTTTGATTGGTAATAACAAAAATATATCTATTTCATTATGCTCTAAAATCAATCTGTATGAAAGATGCAAATTTTTAGTCGATGAAAGCAAAAAAAAATTTGTTTAGCACTTGAACTTTGATGGACTTAGGCGAGCCTAAGATATTGACCAAAAATTTTTATCTTTCATACAGATTGTTTTTAGAGCATAATGAACCATATTTTTGCTATGACCAATCAAAATTCTAAAAAAGCGGATTTTCGGCCCACGCTAATACATATGTATGTCTTGCTTATTAACTTTTTAGATACATATGTATATAAAATAGTATTTTCTACATATTGCAAGTATACATACAAGTACGACCAATAATCTAAGGTTTTATGCGTTTAATATGTATGTGCGTGGGCTTTATATATAGTATGTTGAGTTCATGACATTTCATAGAAAAATATGATAGATTTTTTCACGATTTTTACGAAATTGTTTGTGTGTATATTTTTGTATGTTGGTATCGATGGCTGCTCTTGCAATTGGGTTTCTATGCCACTATGTATGTATGTAGGAGGTGGGTTAAACTTTAGGAATAAATCTACACAAAGTTTAAAATACGCTAACTACTTTACAGTAAACAGCACAATTACAGCACATACATACATACATTGAAGTGTGTCTTCAGCCAACAAATTTTTTTTTTGCAGCCATCCCCAGAATTGAAGAATATCTCAACTGAACATATGGTGATATAAGGGCGCTTTGACCCGAATTGTGAAATGGTCGTTCTTTAAAAATTTTCTGAGACAGCAATTCTACGATAAAATATTTTCTCCATGTAAAATGTATGGAAAACTTCAAGGCCCCAGCGCACACAATGGTGCAAAATCAAAATTTATTATTTAAAAATGTCTAAAGTATTTTTACCTGAAAGCGATTTAAATTTTTAAGAGGTTTAGGATAGGGTTTTATTTTGTTTTTTATAGTTTTTTTAAACAAAGTTGAAAAAATAAAGTTTTGCTTGACTCCAAGGCATTTATTGTTAAATGTATCATAGTTTTTGTAAATAAATTATTTTTGCGAAATAAGCAACAAAAAATTGCGTACGTCGTTTTCCTATAATGTGTTTTTTACAATATAAATCGAAATTTTTCCAAATTTTGCAAAAAATAAGTCTTTTTCAACATTTGCAAATATAAAAGTATCTCGTAAACGTGTAATTTTAATGAAAATTGTAGTATCAACAAAATATATCAAATTCAATCCCCTTTTAATTGACACACCACTTGGTTTGATAGGTTTACGAACTCTCCAGATATTCGAAATTTTTACGATGAATTTTTTTCTTTAATCAGAACTTGTAACTACAAAAACCAAATAAATTAAGAAAAGTAGCTCCTCAAACTCTTAATATTTCATCATCTTTCAAAAAATAAATAAATGTAACCCTCAAAAGTTGTAGGGTCCAGACCTTTTTGAATAGCTATTTTCACATTTGCATTACTGGGTGGCGCCACGGTTAAATATTTATTAACTGATTTATTCGATATTCTTCAGTTCTGGGTGGTAGCAGCAGAAAAATAACAAAAGTTTAGCATTTTTGGATCACCCTAATGTACATGTTTATGTATACACATTTGTAGGTATGTAATTAATTTGGATGGCGCGCAAGTGCATACGAATACATTGTTACTGATTTTATACAATTCAGGCTTTATTATAATAATTTTATTTTTATTTTTTTTCATTATACAATTTACAATTTTATTAAAATTTTTTTGTTCGTCATTTTTTATTTTTGGGTTTCGTGCAGTTTCTACTAATTTAGTTTACCTACATTCATACATAGCTAATACGAGTATTATGTCTTACAAACATGCATATGCATGTCTCTATGTAACGGTTCTAATTGGTTTTCATGGTTTTCTTCTTTTCTTTATTTTTTGTCAGGTATGTACTATATGCACTTTGGGTGGGTTTGAAGGAAGGCATGGAGAGAAGTCCTAATTATTTCTAATCGTAAATATGATACAGCTACTTTTTTTTGAATTTTTGTTTGTTTGTTTTATTTTTGCACCAAGTGCCTGCTATGAAGATCGAAAAACTAAAATGTTTGTTGTTGTCTTATTCTTAAAACAGGAAATCAACTGAAACCTCTCGAAAAATGTGCGTTTTTCAACTTTTGAGGCACACAATTCTTGTATGTTTTTTAGTATTTTGCAATTTTTTCTGAAACTTTATTATATTTTTTTATCGTTAAATCAAAGATGAAAATAAAATGTATGGTACATGGATATACCTCTAGCAGTTTTACAGTTAGTGAAGTTATAACTACATACTAAGATAGTCCCTAAAGTTGTTGCATTTTTTTGGTTTTTCTTCATAGTTTTAGTTCTTTTTTGTTTTCTGGCTGCTAAATTTTTTTAGCATGTACTGAAAAAATCTGTGAAATTTACGAAATTTTTTTTATTTGAAGTAAAAAACTGGTTGTCCTACTTTCTTTTAGTAGTTTTCGGAGTTCTATCTGCACAGAATAAAGGCGGCCCCGACAGATAGGAAATATTTTCAGCGTCGAAGGGATGCTTTTGCACAGAACATGGCGAGATGGCACAATGACAACGTTGCCGCAGACAAAACGTCTAAATTTGATTGGTTAAAAATCAGCTGGTTTGAATTCATGCCATACATTGTTGTTTTGCCGCATTTGTCCTTTATCAGTTCAAAATCACAGATGTCAGCAAAAAAGCATCTCTGTGTCGCGGACCCTGAAGTCGCGAGAAGAAAACTCCATAGAGACCTTCGGCGTTTGCGATATGAAATGGTGTGGGAAGTAGTACGATTAAGTAAATACAGAAATGGCTTTCTTCCTTTTCTCTGGTGCTTGGTAATTGATTACCTGCAAGTCAAACTTGACGGCTCTACAATAAATGCCTGGGCTATGTATAAGATGTGGCCTGTCTCACTAGAATGAGAAGTTTGGACGGCCTCGTCCCCGCTGCCTTAAATTAGTCACTATTTAGATTATTTCCGAAGTAAAATATTCAGGTTTAGTCGCAGATAATAAAGTTTTATGGAAGCTTCACGTTGAACAAAGTACTTCCAAAGCCGTCCCAGCATTCGGGCAATGTAAACAGGTCTTTGATAAAACGTAGGGCCTGTCACCTAGGAGAGTACTGCGGATTTACACCTCAAGCTTTTCCTACAACATCTGGGGCTGCTTAACCTACCGCCACTTAATATTTTTATCCGGTGGGAGGCCCTTAAGCACACCTGTACTTTTAAAGGAAATTACTGAAGGCAGATATTTGAACTTCAACGTATTTTCAATGCCACAGGATAGTACGTCACCGTTACCTTTGCGGACTTAACACCAATGCAGGGCTCGTGCTTACACATTGTGGAATTTAAACTGCTGGCTTCAAAATTGACACAGGGTCAGGGTCTGGAGTCCATATCGAAAGTAACGACGAAAAAATGTTCATTTAACTAGATGAACATGCCTTGTTGTTTCAAGCTGAGGTATTTGCCATCCTCAGGCCATGAACTAGATTGTGTAAAGTGGGTGGAGAAGCAGGAGTTTCCGTTTCTGTAGTGACAGCCAAGCCTACACACACGTCAGCTACGACAGTAGTAATCGTTTGACTGCGTACCCATTCCAATAGCGTGGGATTTCCCGATATGTCCTTTATAGCCTCGCACCCATACAACATGAAAGAGGTAACTACTTTTGAGCTTGTTTAGCAAATTAATAGAAGAATCGATCTATCATCATGCAGCTTCTTAAGTTGCTGCTAGTTCAGTTTCAAAAACTCTGCAGAGGTCTTGCAGACGGAAACTGGGGCCAAGTGAGTGTTCATGCAGATATACCCGATTTCCTGCTTAGATTCTAATTCGGAGCCATCAGTATAGATGGCTGGTGAATCAGAGTGCGAGATCAGCGCTGAATCCTCTTCCTCTGGAAATGATTCCTCAGTCCAAGGGGCGAGACAGTGTAGTCCAGGCGCCTGACAAGAATACTCTCACCACTCGCGAAGCAACAGCGCGCCGAGCCTTCGTGGAAATTTTTGAATGTGTGAAGCAAAATACGAAGAAAATACTTACATATGTTCATCGGTATGCAGCTGAGTCGAAGCAGGAGTCCATGTAGTAGCACAAAAAGTGCAGAACTCCTTAGGAATATCTTCGGCTATCTAGACTCGCCGAAAAGATAATGGAAGCACATTTTTGGGGTTATGAAGGCATCTATTACTCAATTACAAAAGGGGTGTCAATATTATAGTATAAAAAGTTCCTGTTCATTCCACATAATTTTTTTACTTTCATAAATTCTATGAAGGAAAAATATCCAAAATTCAAATGAGTTTCTTCTACGATAAATCAGAAAGTTTATTTCGATGATAGCAGGATTTTCAGACATTTAATATCATTTGAGGCGTTCTTGAAACACAATTCTCTCTGACCTCCAATACAATGTATGTGAAATTTTGGCCAGCTTATCAGCTTATCAGGTCCTTGGTATTACTAAATGAATTTTTGGCTAAATTAATGGCCAGTTCGATTTTAGTAAAATTCGCATTTACCCTCTTTCAGTTGACATGTAATTTCTTTTTGTAACGTAATCTTTAAAGCTAGTGAATTATTTACTTAGTATATTTCTTGTATATGGTTTTTGATAATCCATCGTTAAGTATACTTTTTTTGTAATTATTTTTTTACCAAATACAAATAACAATTTGAATCGCATAAATTGCTCCCGAAATGCTATTAAGTTCACCCGTTTTTTTTTTGTATTGTTTGTGTTCTTTTTTATTTTTCTTTTACTTCAAAATGTAAATATTTATTTTCAATTTAAACTCTACGCTAATCTCTTACATTGCAATTATAATTAGTTCATCTTCTGATCGTTTTCGTGATGAGAATCTAGTACGTACTAAGCTCCTGTAAAAAGTTTTTGTGCCAACTTTGTGTCACATCAGCAAATGCAATTCCATAACCGGACAGGCGAAGAGTTCAATCAAGATGCCATATCTTTACTTCATCTCATTTTTGATTTAACACCCGAGCTTTTGAGCATCATAAATAGTTAGAACTTTCGTTTTCGTAAAGTGTTCCATCCCTGATCCCTGTTCGCTCAGCCCATTTTAAAGATCAAACTTTGTGATTTCGATCCTAGCTAGAACAGCGTCTCCTTCGACCATTTCCGATTGTTACCCGCCATGCTGGGTTCGCGTGATTCGTCACTTTTACTACGCGCAGGTTCAACATCCTCCGATGCCGATGAACTGTCTGAACTCTCATCGGTAAGTAACTTTATAAGAGGCAGTTCTAGCATAACCGAGCGGCAAGTTTCCTCTTCGCTCCTGCGGGCAATGGGGTCTAGCAAGCTCAAATTGGTAGCACTACTACTCACCAAAACGTTGGGAGAGTCTGACAGCCTTTCTGCTGTAGTTGTAGAGCTAGTGCCGGTAGCAGTGACGTTTCCGGAGCCGGATCCAGCGCCGCGTAGGATGAGGTTTTTCAGTGATGCGGACATGCAAATAATTGGTTGTCGCGTTGTTGTAGTGATGAGCATCGAGTCTGAGACCGAGGAGGCACAAGGGTCATCATAGAGTCTGGAGCATGGCAGTTGTGGTTGTGTTGTATTCGTTTGATTTTTCGAAGCCTTCTGGGTTTCTGTAGCATAGCGCTGAGTGGCAGTGGCTGCAGTTGCGGCAGCGCTTGCGCCAACGCTAAGGCTACAGCTCGTCTGATTATTGTCCGTAAGCGGACTAGAGCCACCGAAGCTGACTACCGTATTTAAGCTGCTGTGTTCGGTTAGGGTTGCAGAGCCACCCCCACCTCCACCACCGCCACCACCACTGCCACTACCGCTGGGTCCTTGGGCGCCACCACCACAAAGTTCAGTATTCAAAGTAGAGCAGGTATCATCTTCTGTGGTTGTCGTAGTGGTTGGTATACTATGTGGATCGCTGTACTGCTGCAGTAGTTGCGCGCGGCGTGGATGTGTTGGCGAAAGGCTTGTGCAAATAAACGAACCAAAATGCGTCTCAAGTGGCACCGATTCAGCGATTGTGGTCGGCGTCTGGCTGCCGCTGCCTGTGTGGGGAAACTCCCTTAACTGATGTCCGATTAACGCTACACGATCACTGGAAGAAACGCTGATTGTGCGGTGGCGTTGTAGAAGTGGGCGACGCGCGCGTGCTAGCTTCGTACCAGCCGCACTCGATCCAGCGCCCAGGCTATAGCGCTTTTCGATGGGATACTTGAGTGGTTGCGATGCGGGATGTACAGCTACGGAAGCTTCGTTTGAGCTGCCGCCGCCACCACCCCCAGTTTGTGTCGGTACGAGCGCTACATTCTCGCGCATGCTATTCGGATCGTGTTCGCCGAAACTGACCTCCTCGCTGTCGCTGCTCAATTGCTGCATATCCTCATCTGTGTCGGCTACACTATCCAGGAACACGGAGTCCTCGTCTACTGAGCGGGCCTCGGAGTCTTGATACTCTAGTGACGAGATTTTGAAGGAACTAAGAGA